AGAGGGAGAGGGGGAGAGATGAAGACATCAGCTGCTCTGCCCTCCTCATGGCCCAGACTGGCGGAGACCGGGCCCGCTGGCGAACACAGAGGCCGGGCTGCGGTCAGAGCCAGTACCGCAGGGGGCCTGTGGGGGGCGCTCTCTCGCCACACAGAGAGAAGCGTCACTGATGCTCTCTGTGCTGGTGGCAGGGCAGGGCTGAGGCTGATTAGCGTTAATGGATTTATGTTAATATTTAATTGCCTTGAGAATAGAAATTCTATTTACATCGACGTTTTCATTCATATTCATTTCATATTTAAATTAAAAGTTAAAGTAACAAAACGCAGAAATCCATCACGGGCCTCGCCGCGCGCCGCTCAGTCAGCAGGAGCCCAGCTCGCACACGGGAGGGGCTTACTGACCAGAGGGGCCATCTGGCCCGTCCAGAACGTTTCCTAGCGTCTCCTGACCTGACCAGCTACTTTCCCTGAAAGAGTCCAGGGTATCGGACTGGTTCCACATAGTTCCACTGGTTCACGTTTCACTGTTGGCTCTGCAGAATTACACCGGGCTGTCAGGAGTAAAATGGCGTGTCTCCCTCTCAGGCCTGTCTCACTGTGAGGACTCTCAGCCTGGCCCGTCTCACTCTCATGAACACGGAAGACAGGTGCAGGGCTGGACAGAGTTACGGTATGACTGGGAGAGAGCGCGGGAGGGAGAGATTGATGGAAATGGGATTGGGAGATAGAGATGGAGAGATTGTGTCAACAAGAAAGAAAGATAAATGTGTTAAAGGAAGTCGGCACATTCATGAGAACAGATAAGGAGAGGGAAGAAGAAAACAGGAGATAGAGAGATAGAGCCCAAGACAGGATCTGAGAGAGACATAACAGCAGCGTTTCAGACCGAGAGTGAATCCATTATGAGCTGAAAGAGAGTGAGACGGCCAGATTGCTGTGTATTGATCAACACTAAACCACCACTCCAACCGGAGTCCCTAACCCTAACCCCAGCACTAGAGTGAGCCTGCTCTGACACTTAACACAAGAGCAGGAGACACTGTACAGACAGGAGGGCATCGGCCGTACCTACTGATCTAGTTATCTCATTCGCACATCTCGTTTGGTAATAAGTAGCTAATTAATCCCAGGATCTCATCCAGCTGTTTCTTGAAAGAAGACGGCATCAACCTCAACAACAGGGATGGGGGACTTGTTCCACGCTCCCACCACCCTTTGTGTAAAGATAACATGCGTTTTCAGAAGCAGCGTCTTCAAGCTCACTACTTGATCACATGTTGTTTTTAATATGCTGTGTTTCTGCTTCCTGAGTGCAAGGCTCTGCACTTGTGTACATTAGAGGTCATCTGCCAAGTTCTTCATCCACTCTGGAACTGGATTGTCCTGAAACTCTGCTACCCAGCTTCCACACTGCTTACTAGCACTGTAGTCTGGTGTCACTAGTTCACCGACTATACCAGAATCTAGACCACTGATGTAACTGGGGAAGAGCAGTGGTGCTAGTACAGATCCCTGTGGTACCCCACTAATTACATCACCCCAATGAGCATGCAGTATGAGCACAGTACCGCAGTGTGC